GCTCACGGGGGTCTCCCAGCATCTCACTGGTTCCCCACCCTGTGAGGACAAGATACTGCTCCCAAGAGGCTCAGGGCCAAGTGGTGGGGCTCATGAGGAAGGAGGCCTTTCAGCTCCCACCTCCTAGGGGCAGTCCTTGCATGTAGGGTCCCGGGGGGTGGGTGGTGGGGGGTGGGCACAAACAACAAAAATGTCCCACCTGAAAGATGGGTGACTCGCTGCCCCCTAAGGCACTTAGGAAGAAAGGCCTGGTGATCTTCTATACACAAGCCAGGGTCTCCCCTGATCACAGGCAGTCACCAGGGCGGAGTCAGCGTGCTGGCAGCTCCCTCCACAACCTGGGTTTGTACCTGGTCCTTGGGGACCTGCCTTTCGAACCCTAGACCTCCTGCCTGGCACTCAGACACGCCGAGAGGGATGGGGAGATGGGGGGGGGGTGCAGATGATTTCCTCCAAGGTCCCTTGACCTGGGGGCCAGGGTAATGTTTTCCTTCTTTGCACATCCAACCTGGGCCTGGGGTCTGTCGTGGTCTTCTGTGCTCCCAAGCCAAAGCTCACTGCCACTGGGTCAGCACTGACTCCTAGTGCCCCTGTAGGACAGGGCAGAACTGGCCCTCTGGGCTTCCGAGGCTGTAACCATTTCCTGGAGTAGAAAGCCCGAGGCTGTAACCATTTCCTGGAGTAGAAAGCCCGTCTTTCTCCCGGTGGAGCTGCTGGTGGTTTTGAACTGCCGACCTTGGGGAATGTGTCCCCAGAAAACAGTCATTTAAGGAGTCTGTTCCTTGACTTTTCAGTCACAAGCGAGATTCTAAAGGCCCCGAGGGGCTCAGACGTGGAAACGTGGGCCCACGTGAAGAAGCACGTCCCCAGAGAGGAGGGCAGTGCTGGACAGAGGTGGGGCGCCACAGGACCATGCCCCCCCCCCCCGAGGGCATCTGTGAGGTGATGGGGCAGGGCTGGGACCCCAAACTTAGATTCTGGACAGGTGACCTTTGCTGCCACCTTCTCAGGTGGTGGCGGGTTGGGGACCTGAGCACACCTGGCACTGGGGATGCGAGGCCGGTCAGGAGACCTCACTCAGGAGAAGTTTCCTTAATGCCCTTCAGCAGATCCTCATTGTGTGAGGGCCTCTGGTGTCTGACTTCAGTCTCTTCTGTTCCTTTGACTCGCAGGCCCCAACCCAAAGGCCAGAGTCACGTGGTTGTTGCTGTCGGGTGCCATCAAGTACCCTGCACAACAGAACAAAACAGCGCCCGGTCCAGCGCCGTCCCCACCATCGTCCCGTGCCCAAGGCTGTTGTTGCAGCCATTGTGTCCGTCCATCTCCTTCAGGGCCTTCCTCTCTGTCGCTCTGCTCCTCCACTTCACACTGCCTTGTGGCTGCAACTGCTTACGGCATAGAAAGCCCGTCTTACTCCCTCAGAGTAGCTGGCGGTTTCAAACTGTCGACCTTGTGATCCAACACGGAACCACTAAACCACCAAAGCTCTCTGATTCCCAGGCCAATTTCCCCTGAGTTAAAGAGCCCTGGTGTCACTGTGGGTTGGGCACTGGGCTGCTGCCAAGCTCAAGGTCAGCGGTTCAAACCCACCAGCCACTCACAAGGAGGAAGAAGAGGCTGTCTTCCTGCAAGGGAGTCACAGCCTGGAAAACACTACGCAGAGTCGCTGCGAGTCGGAATCAGCATGTAGCTTAGCAGTGGGTCTGGTGCAGCCAGGAGCCCTGCTGGTGCCCTGGCCAAACCACGGAACTGCTAACACAAGGTCAGCGGTTCAAGCCCACCATCCACTCCTTGGGAGGGAGAGGAGGCCATCTGCTCCTATAAAGACACTCTTGAGGCGGTCCTGGTCCATCCTGCAGGGGGACCCTGAGTTGGAACCACTGGTGCCTGTGGGTTTGTTTGTTGGAAAGGCCCCAGGTTGGACACCCCCACACACATACACAAACACACACACAGCTCTGTGGGACCAACCCCTGGTGGCCTGTCCCTGTAAAGATGGCACCCAGCACATCCCCATCACAGGGGTCCCTGGTGGCCAGGTCTCCTAGGAAAGAGGAGCTGCAGTCTTTCCCGGCCCTCCCAGGACCCGTGGGGGCTGCGGAAGGAGGGGGTGCCCCCGTGACCAGGCAGGATGGGAGGCCTGTGTCCCTGGTGGCTGAGCGGTTACTTGTTGGACAGAGAAAGACGGGGCTTTCGACACCCGTAAAAGAGTAACCATCCCAGAACCCCCTGTGAGTCGGCATCGACTTGCTGGCAGAGTTCGGTTTGGGTCCTGGTCTTCCGTGGGACTCTGCCCCAGGTGGCCCCTCGGATCAGCAGGAGACTGCCTTGGGGTCTGCTCTGCAGATCCTGGGCGCTGAACTCCTGCATCAAGCATGGGGACAGACGTCTGAGGAGTGGGGCTGGGAGGGCTTCCCTGTCGTCCCAAGAGGCCCCAGGCAGACTCAGGCCCCAGCTGGGGAGGAAGCCAGCTGCTGACCTGGAGGTAGGAGGCCCAACACCTACCTGCCTGGGTCCTGAGAGCCTGCCCCGCCCTGGGTCGCCTGGCTGTCTCTGGAGTCTCCCTCTCCTAATCCCAGATCCTGGCTCTGAGTGCCCATTCCTAATCCTCTTCCATCCCCTGATCTAATCGGTTGCTGGCCCCTAATCCCTCCCAGATTTGCCCCTCTGTAATCCTGGCCTGGCCCCCCTCACGGCCCCCGCCCTACGGCCCAGTGCCTGCTCTCTTGGCGTGTGGATTCTGGCTGGGGTTGGGGCTTGGGGTGGGACGCGAAGCCCTCCTGGACATGTGTGGGGTTGAGGGGTTGGAGGAGGGGGTGGTGGATGCCCCCTGCCTCGGCTGCACCAGCTGCATGGAGACACCCCTGTTCTCGGGCCTCGGTTTCCCCATGTCACCAGGTCCTTGAGAAGCTGCTGTCAGGGAGTGAGCTCATGGGGATGGTAGGGGACAGGAAAGGAGGAAGTGGAGACCTCAACCCTCGGGACCCCTCTGCCCCCAGCCTGGGGTGATGGCCCCCTGCTAGCAGAATGGGAGCCACCTGCCAGCTCAGGGGACTTCAAACAGTGGGGGCAGGTGCCGACACCCAGGCCTTAAGCTCAGGCCTGTTTCCCCTCTTGGTCTCTCTGGAAGGACTGGACCCAGGAGGACCAGGGTCAGCCCTGTTGGTGACATCTGTCTCCGGAGGGAGGGGTCCTGGGGCATCTTAACAATGAACGGCGCATGTCCCATTCACATGCTTGGTGCTGAGAGGTGGGGGAGGGTTGCCTTTCAAAGAGTCGGGTTGATTTCGCCCCTCAGGGTGGGAGGGGATGGCTTTGTCATGGGGAGAGGGCTGACCCACCAGCCCAGACCCCTCCCCTTGAGGGCTGGGGTCCCACTGTCCCCTAGAGGTGGTTCCCGTGGCACCCAAACACCCTAGCTTTCGAGGGGTCCCTCAGATTGTAACTCCTTGTGGCCCCCCTCACCCCTTCCTTCTCAGCAGACAGAAGAAGAGACTGAGGGGTCTGGAGGACATGCCCAAGGTCACTGTGCCGCTGAGCAGGGAGCTGGGGTGTCCCCCCACCCACGGTCTGGTGACACCGCCTGACGTTGGGTGCTGGGTCCTTTCCAGCCTTGCGCTCACACGGGCCTCGCAGGGTGCACTGCCGATCCGTCCAAATGGCTTTTTGATGTTTCCTCCTGCGTTTGGACGGGTTCCTGAGCTCAGTTCCCCGAAGTGGAACGCCGGGCCAGCCGGCGGGCATGGTGTTAATAGCTCTTGCCTGCCGTGCCATCCAGAGAGACAGAGCCAATTTACACAGCAACTCCCTGCTGGGCCCTCACCCAGTCACCCGGCCTCCGGAGGACCAGGCCTCCCCAAGGGCCCTCCCCCAGTCACCCGGCCTTGCCAGGGCCTCCGGCCTTCAGATCATTGGTACCAGTCCCTTGAGAGCGCGGTCTCTGCTCCGTGCCAGGGAGGAGGACCGCAGGAAGCCACAGCCTCTTAGGGTTCTGTGGCCGGGACATGTGCTCCGATGGAGCCCTTGGAAGTCAAGGCAGGGGACCCCAAGTCTCATGGGACGGGACGGGGGCCAGCTCTCTCTCCGCCCACCTTGTGGGGGTAGGGACCAAAGGCCTTGAGAATGCCCTGAAGGCAGACAGGCCTAGGGTGGGTCTCCTCCCAAGGACAGCAAACTCATGGTGCCAGCATGCCCCTGGGACACCTGGCCCTGCAGAGGGTCCAACGGACCTAGTCTTAGTGGCTGGGGCCCGGCTGCACCTATGGGTCCTCCTGAGTGGCCGCCACACCCTGAAGGCATGTCCAGCGCAGAGACACTCTCCTTCAATGGCCCAGGTGGACATGTGAACTTGGCCTCAGGACTTGTGTCCCTTCTGGCCCTGCTTGGGAGTGGATGAGAGAGAGCTGTCACCACTCGGTCACGAAGATTTATTGCAGGAAATGTCCCCACCGTTGCCAAGTCCTGTCCATCATGCTCTCCCTCCCCTCCTCCCCATCGCTGCATCTTGGCCCCGCCCCACCCTTGGCCTCTGTCCTGCCTGGACCAGGGCCTGGCCTCTTCTCTGGGCCCAGTCCCCTGCTCTCTGGTCTCCTTGCCTTGGGAGAGACCCCAGCCCCCCTGAGCCCAGGCCAGGTCCCCAGCTCAGCTGGCCTGCAGGGGCGGTGGGCACCGGGCCCCCTCCGTGCCTCTGCCACCCGTCAGTCTGCCCCTCTTGAGCCCTCGGCCCGTCTGCCTTTCCTGAGGCGCTTTGAGGACCAGCGTGGGTGGACCACACATTGTCCATGGTTTTTTGATCGGCTGAAACATTTTATCTATTTTGAGTGTCCCCTTGGGCTCCTGGGGATGCTGGATTCTTCCAGGAGGGGATGGGTGTCGGAAGGACCTGGGTTCTGGAGGCCTGTGACCCTCCCCTGTCCCCCGGCCCCACCGGTTGTTCTGGGTCAGGCTGGTGGACGGTGGGGAGGCCTGTGATGCGTCCCCTTCTGCCTCCCCCCCTCCAGGTTCTACTGGGACTTCACGATGCTGCTGTTCATGGTGGGCAACCTGATCATCATCCCCGTGGGCATCACGTTCTTCAAGGATGAGACCACGGCGCCGTGGATCGTCTTCAATGTGGTCTCGGACACCTTCTTCCTGCTGGACCTGGTGCTGAACTTCCGCACGGGCATTGTCATCGAGGACAACACGGAGATTGTCCTGGACCCCGAGAAGATCAAGAAGAAGTACCTGCGCACGTGGTTCGTGGTGGACTTCGTGTCCTCCATCCCCGTGGACTACATCTTCCTCATCGTGGAGAAGGGCATCGACTCGGAGGTGTACAAGACCGCGCGCGCGCTGCGCATCGTGCGCTTCACCAAGATCCTCAGCCTGCTGCGCCTGCTGCGCCTCTCCAGGCTCATCCGCTACATCCACCAGTGGGAGGAGGTGGGCCGGGGAGGGCCGTGGCGGGCACTGGGTGGGGGACGGGGCATGGGGTATGGGACAGGGGCCAGGCCAGAGGAGGGGCATGAGGTGGGGCAGGACTAGGTGGGGCCAAGTAAGCGTGAGGACCAGGACTGGAGGGGCATACAGGGTGGACAGGGTTCCGGGGGAATGGTGCAGTGGGGAAGGGGCCAGGGTGGGAGGCTGTGGGGCTGTGGTGCTGGTAAGGGGTAGGGTTGGGGGCCACCAGGGGTGTGGCCTAGGTGTAGAGAGAGGCTGGACTGCGGGGTACTAGGGGAGAGGCCGTGGTATGGTGTGAGGGGTTCTGAGGTGGGGCCAAAATGTGAGCGTGGGGTGGTGGCGTGGGCGAGGCACACTAGGGGTGGCCCTGGGTCCGCAGGGCTCACTACCGGGGTGGAGCCACGGGGGTCGCAGTGGGGGTGGGGAGCGGGCCTTGGGCAGAAATTGGGATCATCACCAGGGGCACACTGCTCCCTCCTCAGTCTGATCTCGGAGAGCCAGGATCTGCAGTCACACAAAGGGAAAACTGAGAAGCAAATCTCTCAAGTGGACCTTCCATGCAGTCCTCCGCCCGAGGCCAGCCTTGGGGCTGATCTGACCTTGACCCTCACCACACAGGGCCTTCCCTATCACTTGTGCCAGGGTAGGGGTGGAGAGCTGAGGGCCCAAGGCTCCTAGAGGAGCAGGCCTGTCTGTCCAGTGGGTTAGGGGCACACAGCGAGGCCGGGCAGGGCTCAGGGGGCCTCACCGGCGCCCCGCCCCGCCGCACAGATCTTCCACATGACCTATGACCTGGCCAGCGCGGTCATGCGCATCTGCAACCTCATCAGCATGATGCTGCTGCTGTGCCACTGGGACGGCTGTCTGCAGTTCCTGGTGCCCATGCTGCAGGACTTCCCGCACAACTGCTGGGTCTCCATCAACAACATGGTGGTGAGCACATGCCCGCAGCTGCCCCCTCCTACTGTTCTCCCCCACCCCCACCCATCAGGATGGGGGCATGGCAGCTCCAGGGGGACCTTCCTAGAGACTGGTTGGGGGGGTTTGCGTTTGTTTAAATGAATTTGTCGCTAAAGATTCACGTCCACTTCCGCTTCACTTTCCCTCATCGTTGGTTCCGCATGTGTGTTTGTCCCCATAGAAAGGAGGGTGTACTGAGAGCAGGCGGTGCCCCCCCCCCTCCCCGCCCATGCACTTGTTTAACCCAAGCCCGAGAAACAAACAGAACTGCCCAGGCCCAGCGCGTCTGAGCAGGGCATTGTGAGAGAGGTTCAGCCCACAGCCTCCTGGGGGCCCTGTGGGCTGGGGTAGCTCTGGGGCTAGGCTTGGAGCAGATGGGTGCTGGGGGTGGAGGAGACCGGAGAAGGAACACCCGTGGGCACCCTCCCCGGTGCCTGGCACAGCTGCCCGGCTGAGGCGTTCCATTGTCTGGCCAGCACTCTCGAATCCGGCCCGTTTCCTGAACAGGCCGCTGCCCCCTCCCCCACCGGGTCAGCTGAGGACAAGAGGGGCAGGGCCCGCCTGCCCTGCCTTGGCACTCTGATCTGACCTCAAGGCACTGATAGGCCTGCCCCCGGGGCTCTGGAACTTTCTCCTCCTCAGACCCCGCAGAGGCTCTGGGCAGAGGCCACAAGGAGTGTGGGGGTAGTCTGTCCAGCGAGTTTCCTCCGGGGGCTCAGACCTGCCTATTGCTTCCTTATACTAGTGCCTCTCACATCTCCCTGACCCCAGTTTCCCTAACAACAAAACGGAGCTGATGGCACTGGTGCCCCTGTGGGCTGTCCCACCAGGCCTGAAACATGGCACTTACCTGGGCACGTGCCCTGGCGACCACCGGTCGCTGATTCCCTTGGTTACCTGCCGGCACGGGAAGCTCACCACCCCCTGGGAAGCCCCGTGGGCGGGGGGTGGGGGGGCTCCTGGCCGTGAGCCCCAGCCCACCGGCCCCTGCTCGCCCCCCTCAGAACCACTCGTGGAGTGAGCTGTACTCCTTCGCGCTCTTCAAAGCCATGAGCCACATGCTGTGTATCGGCTACGGCCGCCAGGCTCCCGAGAGCATGACGGACATCTGGCTGACCATGCTGAGCATGATTGTGGGCGCCACCTGCTACGCCATGTTCATTGGCCATGCCACCGCCCTCATCCAGTCCCTGGACTCCTCCCGGCGCCAGTACCAAGAGAAGGTACCAGGAGAAGGGCTGCTGGGGAGGCCGAGGGCAGAGGGGTCACTCCTTAGTTCCATGTGGGCAGAGCCCGGGCAGGGGAGACCCTGGGTAGACCAGGAAGGAGGGCCAGGCCCACTTGGGGTCCCTGGGATGAAGTCCTGGGTGGTCTGAGGCCTCCTGTCACTCAGGGTGCCTGACAGCCAGCCCACAGGGGACTCTGGGGAGAGAGTGGCTGATCACCCCAACTTGGCTTCAGAGCCTGGAAGAGTTTTCTAGCACCAGGGCATGTGGGGCCACCTGCAGGGTTGGAAGGGGCCAGCAGGACAGGGCCTTGGTGTGGTCCCCACCCCACCCCAGCTGTCACACCTCAGGGTCCAATTTTCACCTCACAGCCATGACCATGCACCCCACCCACCTCTGGAGTGCAGTGGGTCGGCTGGGTCAGCCAATCCTGGTGCCTCGGTCCATCACCGTGCCCCACACACTGCCCTCCACCCCCCCACGTCAGTGCATTGGGTCAGCTGGGCCTGCTGCCAGGCATCCCTGCTGTCCGGAAGCTGAGAGGCCTGACACCCAAACACGAGCTGGTGCCACCACCCCCCTTCCCCCACCCCCCAACCCCCGCCCGCCGTCATGGGTGCCGCTGGGCTCAGGGCGGCTGTGGCTGGTGGGGGGTGGGCACCTTCCTGGGACAGCAGGGCCTGGCACCCATGCCTGCACCCTGACCAGGGACTTCTGAGAAGCCCCTGCACGTTTCTCAGGGGCCAAAGCTCCCAGATAAAATCCAGGAGGCCTGGTCCTGGTGGAATTTCAGAAAACCCACAAAGAATACTGGTCGCATCCACACATCCCAGTAGGAGTCCTGATGGTGCGCAGGGTGTGCTGCTGTGAATCGAATGACTCCCCAGGAGAAAGGCCTGCATGAGATCGACAGCCTCGGCACCCACAGCGACAGGTGTATTTGGTTGGTGGTCATCTCATGGCCAGTGCCCGGCTGTTCCCTATTTGCCGTGATCCTGCGGTGGCGCTGACCCTTCCCCTTCTGCTTCCAGTACAAGCAGGTGGAGCAGTACATGTCCTTCCACAAGCTGCCCGCCGACTTCCGCCAGAAGATCCATGACTACTACGAGCACCGCTACCAGGGCAAGATGTTCGATGAGGACAGCATCCTGGGCGAGCTCAACGGGCCGCTGCGGGAGGTGAGGGGCGGGGCTGAGGGCGGGGTCAAGGACGAGGGGCGGGGCTGGTGAGGACAGCATCCTGGGCGAACTCAACGGGCCGCTGCGGGAGGTGAGGGGCGGGGCCGAGGGCGAGGGCGGGGTCAAGGACGAGGGGCGGGGCTGGTGGGGACAGCATCCTGGGAGAACTCAACGGGCCGCTGCGGGAGGTGAGGGGCGGGGCCGAGGGCGGGATCATTCCTACACCTTCTCAGGGACACTGAAAACGTGTCACCGTCATGGTGTCCCCCCTCTTCCTCCCGCCCTCCATCCAGCCTTCTTCTTTCGGAGAATTTTTACTGTGACTTGAAGGGAGCATTTGCAAAGCAAGCTGGGTGCCTTTCAGCTCTTTGGGCATAGGTGCCCCCCGGACGTGGACGGCGGCTCCACTTCCTCCCAGTGCTTCCTGCTTCCCAAACTCCTCCCTTCCCGTCCAGTCCTGCATCCGTCCCTCTGGTTCATGGTGTCCTTTTGATGAGGAGGTCCCTTGCCGGAGTTACTGTTCTTTATGTGTCTGTCTGCCCTGCGGCTTAAGGTTGATCAGGGGCTGGGTGTGGTTGGGTGGGTGGGGGGGCTTCCTTCTTTCCTTCTGACACGTGAATACATTTCTTGATTGCCCCCTTTCTGTTGGTGATGAAAATCATGACAAAAAAAGAAATCCTCCCAAACACTTGTCAGGGACAATCGCGTGCGAGTTCAACATCGTTTCTGATTGCACACGTAATTCAGAGGCTCAGCACCCTCCGGCCCGCCTTTCCATT